TAACCCATTCCAACGTCCAAGCATGCATTGTTACAGACTTTCAGATTCATGTTTATGTTGGTTACTTCATTTTAACATATTACGTGCCAAGTCTCAAGCTTTAACCCATTAAAACTCATGATCAAGTTAAGGAACATACCCAAGGCTTCAAAACAGAAGCAAGAGGTGCTCTTGGAGCTCACTTGAAGCTCCCTAAGTTCTGACTTCTCAAGAAAACGAAAATAACAACAAAGCAAGGTTCTTTCTCTCCAAAGGTGGCTTCTTGAAGCCACACAAACAAGGAACAAAGGATCTTTCCCCACAAACAGTGAAGTCAGCCCAAGAAACACTCAAGAACAGCCCACCAACTCAGAAAAGCATCCCTTTTTCACTTCCCAAAGCTTGAATGCACTCACCCATGGTGTTTCTGTGAAGAAACCAAGAGGAAATGAGGTCTCTTGATGTCTCAAATGGAGAGGGAAGAAGGTGGTAAGGTGGTTGGTCACAAACTTAGAAAACTCACGTATAATAGAGAGGGAGGCTGACCTAAGATCATGTGTCACTCCTATATATATAGCCTCATTAAGTTTTAATCACACTATATTAGCACTAATGGCTACGCTTAGCATTTTAATCCCAAACTCAAGATTCTGAACCTACTCATTTTTATAAGATTTGTCATATTTTTATTTTATTTTTCGCAGCAACTTTCTGGTACGCGCCTTTACATAGCCAGTGTCAGTTCTAGCACCAGTTCTCATTATTTCGACTTGAAACTTGAAATCACAGTCCTACATATTATTCTAGGAATATTCATGCACTTATAATAATTTTCCAAGATACTACATCGGTACGCATTTATACCGAGTAGCAGAACCTGTATCTGCACTTTTTGTCAGAAAAACGGCTTTCAGTATTATTACTCACTTACCAATATTATTTAGAGGAGGGATATTCTTACTACCAAATTTTTTTATTACCAACTCACTACCTATCTAATCATCATTGGATCAACATTTTCTCTTTTTTCAAAAACTTTTTAGCATTTTTTCTCTTTGATTCAATGGTGATTACATAGGTAGTAAGTTAGTAGTAGAAAATTTTGGTAGTAAAAATATCCTCCCTCTACTATTTAAGACTTATCATAATTATTAGGTTCAATTATGGAATGATTTTCAAATTTTTAATAATTAATAAATTAACTTCCACGACGTGTTTCACATGTCTCAGCTTCGGAAGTACATAGCAGATCCTTCGCACGTGGTGCAACCAAATGATGTGGAGATTCGGGAGAACCTAAAGACTCTCGTCGGACAACTCAAGATTCTCGATCGTGGTGAAAAGCAGCTGAGGAGCAAGATCATTCTGATGGTCAAAGTGCAATGAATTGGAAGAACTCCTGAGGAGTGTACCTAGGAGCGAGAGGACTAGCTTCTTCGGCAGTACCCTAACTTCCGAGGCAGGTATATTTCTCATTTTGAGGACAAAATCCTTAAAAAGGTGGGGTGAATGTAAGGACCCGCACCATTAATATAGGAAATTAATTAAATAAATATGAGAATTAGAAAATAATTTCATAGTTGACCCTAATAATTATGAGAAGACTTAAATAATTATAGTAAGTGTGAAATAATATTGAAAGTCGTTTTTCTGACGAAAAGTGTAGATACCGGTTCTGCTCCACGGTATAAATGCGTACCGATGAAGTAACCCGAAAAATTATGAAAAGTATGTATGTTACTAGAAAAATATATAGGACTGGCATAACAAGTTTTATGTCAAAATAATGACAACTGGTGCCAGAACTGATACTGGCTATGTAAACCGGAAAGGTGCTGCGAAAAATAAAATAAAAATATGACAAATCATAGAAAAATGAGTAGGTTCAGAATCATAAGTTTGGGATTAAAATGCTAAGCGTAGCTATTAATGTTAATATTGTGTGATTAAATTAAGTGGCCTATAAATAGACTCTTTCACACAACCCTAGGCTGATCCTCTAGCCTTTATGCTTGGGTTTGGCTGCTGTGTGCGTGTGTGTCTTCATGCTTGTCACCTTCTCCATGGCCACACTTGCTTGAAAAACTCCCAAGTCATCTTTTTTTCCATTGATTCTTCTCTTTTAGACATTGTAAACACTTGGTAGAGTGGTTGTAAGGGAGATGAGGGTGCCTTCTGAGTTGTTTTACCTCTATTTGAGTGAGTGTTGGGGGCTGAGTTCTTGGGTTGAGGAGTGGGAGTCATTTCTTGGTTGTAGAAGCTTCAAGGAGTGACCTTTGAAGAGAAAGGACCCATCTTGGGGTGCTATTTTCGTGAACACTTGAAGTCAGAAGTTGGAGCTGACTTGTGAGCTCCAAGAGCCACCCCATTTTTGTTTTGAGCCTTGGTGGTAAGCACCATCACTTTGATCATGAGTTTTAATGGGTAAAAGTGGAGTCTTGACATGTTTAATAAGATAAACAAGCAACCAACATGATAACTGACCTAGAGGGGTTCAAAGATGCATGTTTTAACGTTTAGAAGTGTTAAAAATGGAACCTTGGAAGGGATATCTCGCGAAATATCCAGATATGATATCCGAATATGGGGTCTGTTTATATCCAAATATGGATATCTGGATATGATATCCGGATATTGATATCCAGATATGGCCTCGACAAATATTCATATATTTTGGGTTTTCAAGAACAGTAACGGTATTGTTCATACATAATGCTATTTTGGGTTTGTGGACCCATGATTAGTTAATGTGAACTTCTGTAATAAATAACCTAAGTCAGAATCTAAGTGAGAAGCTTAAAGACATGAAACGTAAAGGAAAGGCGTTGTCTTTATGTCGTTTTCTTGTAGAGCATGTATATTGATATTATTATTGGTCCAAACAGATTGTGATCGTGCTGTGTGTAGACTTTGAGCTTGGCTGGACTCTTGGCTTGGATAGTTAGCTTGCAAGGTAAGCTTTTGTGTCCTCGGTTTAGCCATTGTTGGTTCCACCAGATCCCATGGGGGGATGGTTTATATGCATGATGTGTTTTCATGTATTATTTTATTGAAATGCTATTGAGCTGTTAAGTGCAAATGCCTTGTGATATGTATGTGGTGTTCGCCTAGACGAGATGTGATCCTGAGGGCAGGTACGACATGGGCGCGTATTGCGTGGGTAATAGACATATTCTTCATCTCTCTGGCCAGTAGATTAGTTATAACACACATGACATAATTATCTGTTGCATTGCACTGGTTTTGGAACTTATACTGTTAAACTGCTTTTGGAACTTATATTGCACATGTAAGTGAGCTTGGGGTGGAAGATCCTTGAGGACCCCTTGCCTTACTGAGATTTCTGTTTAGAGATCTCACCCCATGTTTGGGGCACCATTTTCAGGTTCAGGTAACCCTGGGGTTGAGACCTCGAGCGGCAAGAGGCCGGAGCTGAGTTGAGGTGTTTGATGTTATGCTGATATGACTGGCTGTTATTCTGATTAACTGCCTTCATTATTATGATGTTGTTGTTGAGACTTGTTGGGCTTGTGCCTTATTTGGTGAGTATGAGAATTGTCCATGCCACATTGACTTGACTTTATGCTTTTAGATTCGAGTTGTATAATTGTATCAGGATTATGTCCGGTCTACGTGTTGTAGTTCCGTGACTTAGATACTCACTTATTATATACGAGGTTATTCAGTGTAGATAGCTGTCTTTTGCAATTTACATACAGGCGATGTTTTTATGAAAATGATTAAGTAATCAACTTGGCTAAGGATAATGACGTCATAATTGAAAGTAAAAAGTTATTCTGCATTTTTAATTAAGCATGGCTTAATACGATGACATGTTAACAAACCAAATATACACGGGGTGTTACTGATACCACTTGTAACGCCCGGCCGCTTCAAGAATCAATGACTATCCCCACACACTAACACTGGACTTCTCAGCATGCTTTATCCTCACTCGCAGACTTCCTGGGAAAACTTCCCACGAGGTCACCCATCCCAGAATTGCTCCAAGTCAAGCACGCTTAACTACGGAGCTCTTCCGTTTCGGGCTACCGAAAAGTAGATGCATCATGCCTTGCATACCGCTTCCGTTCCGGGATGTTACAATAGGGTTTATGAACGTCTGCTACCTACCGAACATGAGGGATACTGCCTCATGCCTTGCACACCAGGGTTGCTGCCTGATCGTACAAGTACTAACATCACATCCATACATTATATCAACAGGTATACTACATACCATGGTTGCTGCCTGATCGTGTAAGTACCCAACATCACATCCATACATTACATCAACATGTATATTCACATATCTCAGGCATATATCAATGCATATATATCATTTTCATAAAAGCACAACAAAGCATATTCCAGCAAGAAAACTCATATCACCCATACTGCTAGCTATGGTAATATTCTTCAATGCATCATGGAAGTCTTTATATAATGTTGTGAATATTATCTTCTTGAAAGATCATAATTAGTTCCTAACTTATAATTTTCATTGTAATTTTTCTCTCATGACAGTTTGATATAAATCTTAGAAAACAATTAGAGTTGGATGAAAAAAACTAACATTGCGGTATATAATTTTTATCTCTACAACGATTCTTTTTATAAGCATAAAATGAAGCATTTAATTTAATTTGTAACATGCTTAGAAGGTGGATTGAATTGTAAAAACCATGATAAAAAAAATGTTTCTCTACTTTTTTTTCTCACCACAAATTAAATAATTTGCAGCTCTTGCCTTGGATATGTTAGTCATTTGGAGAGGGTACAAGATCATAATGAAAGAATAACGAAGGTAAAGAGAAAAAACAAACACACCACTCAAATTTAATCACACAGACAAAAAGAAGTATAAAATAAAACTTTATTGGATGATGATTCAACCCAATCACCAAAAGCACGTGATTTTTTTATTCATATTGTGTGGCTCATAATAGTATTATATATTGCAGTAAGCACTTATTTTTTTATGAGGCTTGACAGAGTCTATTATGTAGCGATGGAGGACTTCAAGGGTAGAATGTGATGGCATAGTCAGGATTGGAGAAGCAAGTAAAGGTGCTAGTCTTGTCATCATATGCGTAGCTATAAGCATCAGGACATTGCTGCTTGAAAATGTCAGAGTATTTTGTTGGTGGACATTTCTCTGCTGTGTTGAAATCACTAGTGCAACAATACTGAGGCTGGTTGAAAGCCAAACAAGCACTCTTGCATGCAATCGCGCTTCCATCAGAACCTTTCATTTGGAGCTCCGCAGGGCACACATTGTTGATGTTGTTAGGGCAGCTTGAGGTTTTGCATTGACCACTCCCACCTTGTGGGGTCACCGAAAAGGGCACGTTGAACCTGTCCACGTTGCTTACATCGTAGAAATCTTGACCTCCATTTGATGCTATCGTAATTTCTACCAAAGGTTCTGGTGGGATTGCCCTGGCATCGTAGAAATCTTGACCTCCATTTGTAGGTCGAGATAACGCGATTTTACTAAACTAATGTGTTGTTGTCATTTTTTCCCAGCCGGAATCGATTCTCCCAGACTGGGAATCGATTCCCCCGCGACAGAATGGAGAAAAATTGCATTTTTTTCTGCATAATCCCTATTTCCATGGCTTCCCAAGGGTTCTAACTCTGATATACCCACTTAAAGAAGTTCAATTAACTTTATTATATTTAGATTAAAAACTCTCAACTCAAATCATTAAAGTTTCCCTTTTGATTACTCAAAACAAGCCATTTTCATAAAAAAAAATGCAAAAAAAAAGGTATATGGTTACCTTGAGGCTCTTAAAAAGGGCTCAAGCCCTAGGGCCAGCCCATTTGGCCCTATGTTAAGCCCTATAAAATTTTGACCCTCTATGTAATGGGGTCATTTTAACCCCATCCTCTTAAATCCCTCTCATTATAGGGTTGGGTTGGGGCTGGCCTGCGGGCTACAATATTCAACCCAATTTACATAAATATGAATCATTTTTAAATGTGACATATCTATCCTTAATATTAAAATATGAAAATTACATAAATATGAATCATTTTTAAATGTGACATTATTAGAAAAGTGTCAAATAGTAACATAATTTATCGACGAAAAATATTTCGTCGAAAATAGAGACGAAATTTTTGACAAAAATCACATTACATCAAAAATAGAGACGAAACAAGATTTGGCCATAATCACTGACATAAATTTTTTCGAAAAAAAATTCAGTCAAAATTCTTGATAAAATCTAAATTCCGTTGAAACTTTCAACAGAAACATTTGTCAAAATATTTTTGTAAATTGTTGACAGAAAACTTTACGAAATCTAAATGTCGTCAAAATATTTGATAAAAAACATATTTGTCAAAATTTTCGACGAAAAATATTTCCCTTTAAATTTTTAACGAAAAACATTTCCATTGAAATTTTTTTGTACAAAGTTCTAACGAAAAATATTTCTGTAAAAAATTTTGACGGAAAAAAAAATTCGTCAAAATTCTTTATAGAATCTAAATTCCGTCAAAAGTTTTTGACGAAAATATTTTCGTCATATTTTTTGACGAAAAAAATTTCCGTCAAAATTTTTTACGAAACACATTTTCATCGAAAATTTTTGACGGAAAATAATTTCGACAAATTTATATTTCTATCAAAATTTTCAAACGAAACACATTTCCGTCAAAATCGACAAAAATTATTTCTGTAAAAAAATTCGACGGAAAAAATATTTCGTCAAAATTCTTTACGGAATCCTAATTTCGTCGAAAGTTTCACAAAAATATTTCCCTCAAAAATTTTGAGAAAATATTTCCGTCGAAATTTTCATTGGGAAAATTTTCCTCGGAAATATTGGACGAAATTACTTTTTCCGTCAAAATTTTTGGTGGAATTTGTTTTATCAAAAATATTTAAAAAATCATTTTAGTCAAAAGTTTTGACGGAAACTAAATTTTGTCGAAAATTTTGACAAAAAATTTCATCGGATGAAAATTCCGCCGCCTTTCAATGAAAAGTATTCCAACGAAAAAATATTTTTTTGACGAAATTCTTTGTCGTTGGCAACGTAGAGTTTTTATAAAAAATATGATTTTTTTTAGTAGTGTAAAAGATACATAAAAAATTTAGAAGGCCCGCGGGCTGGCCCTAACCCATAGGGCTTTGGCCCATATGGATCTATATCACTGTGAGCTTTTTGGCCCTGCGGACTTTTTGGCCCTAACCCACTTGGGCTAGGGCTAAATGGGCCGGGCTGGCCCGTTTTGACAGCTCTAATTAAAGTTTCCCTTTTGATTACTCAAAACAAGCCATTTTCATAAAATAAAAAAAAATGCAAAGAAAAGGGTATATGGTTACCTTGAGGCTCTTAAAAACAGAGAAAATAGAAAACTTTGAGGGCTTTGAAGATACTCCTAGTCACTGCAACAATGGCTATTGTGAGGACTACCCTAAACCAAAGAGGACAGCCCCACAACTCCCCATAACAGAACCTTGAATACCCCAAGAATGGGTTTTTTCTAACATTAATCACAAGCTCCCAAGTGTTTAAAGGATTTCCATGGAAGAGAGATGAAAAAAGTGAATACTTTTGATGATTTCATAAGGTGGAGAGAAAGAAGGCATAGAGAGGAAAACAAAGTGTGCTAAGGTTTAGGGAAAGAAATGGGTCTATGAAGGAGTGTTAGTAAATAAAGGAGGAATAAGGTTATTGTCATTTAAAGAACACTGCTCACTAATATGACAATATTTATTCTAATAGCTCCTTTCTTTATTTTTCTTTCAAATTTTATATT